ACTTACTTTGCAAGAATTACCAAGTCTGCATAGCCAAATAGATGCAGATTTAAGGTCGTATAACCCCCCTCCCCACCTCCCACCCCCCACCCAACCCCCACCCTAAATAATTATTTTAAGTCTCCAAAAGACTTGCAATTTTTACAAACTAATTGAAAGCGAAGAAAGAGAAGCAGGGGCTCTTACCGGCCACGGTATACAATCTTGGTTGGTTGAACAGCGATCACAGTCGCGTTAATGTCATTGGCATTGTGCCGCCTACCCGCTACCGACAATACGCCGTCTATCGAACCGCAAATGAAGATGAGACCACCCTGAAGAGGAGAAAAAGGAATTCAATATAAAATGATGTTCAATTCCACCAAGCACCTGAAAACTTGTTACCGTTGTCCATATAGATTAGCGAAAATGCCCACCTCAAGCTAAACTCACCAACTTCACTCTTTCCCTTCTTTCGGGAATGGTCTAGTATTTAGATTTTAAAATCTTCGAAGTGGACATTTATTTATTTTATTTATTTCAAATGGCAGGCATTTTGATAGTTATCATTAGCCCCTTAGTTGACTTCGGGCTTCACAGAAGGGAGGAACATTAAAGTGAGAAAAATTCGACAGGGGAAAAGAAAAGCGATTCACAGATGAAAAAGACAAACAGACACAAAAAAAGAGACAAATACAAAGGTAGGACAAAGGTGAGGTGAGTACTGTGGAAGGGGTTGAATATGACATACAGTGGGGTTATGGTAGTTTGAAGTCAGAAGTTAATAGAATCTTTTTGCCTTATGAGTATACGTTGCCCAGGGTGCACCACATTTTGCCGTATGAGTATGCGTTGCCCAGGGTGCACCACGTTTGTTTGCCGTATGAGTATACGTTGCCCAGGGTGCACCACGTGATAGACTTACTTGCCGTATGAGTACACGTTGCCCAGGGTGCACCACGTGGTGCCTTATGAGTATACGTTGCCCAGGGTGCACCACGTGGAGCCGTATGAGTAAACGTTGCCCAGGGTGCACCACGTGGAGCCGTATGAGTATACGTTGCCCAGGGTGCACCACGTGCCGTTTGAGTATACGTTGTCCAGGGTGCACCACCTGGAGGTAAGTCTATCGTGAGTATACGTTGCCCAGGGTGCACCACGTGGAGGTGTATGAGTATACATTGCCCAGGGTGCACCACGTGGAGGTAGCCGAATGAGAATACGTTGCCCAGGGTGCACCACGTGGAGGTAAGGTGTAGTATACATTGCCCAGGGTGCGCCACGTGGAGGTAAGATAGCTTGAACTCAGAAGTCAACTGCCGGTTTATAGACTTTTTTGTCACATGAGTATACGTTGCCCAGGGTGCACCACGTGGAGGTATGTCATTTGAGTATACGTTGTCCAGGGTGCACCACCTGGAGGTAAGTCTATCGTGAGTATACGTTGCCCAGGGTGCACCACGTGGAGGTGTATGAGTATACATTGCCCAGGGTGCACCACGTGGAGGTAGCCGAATGAGAATACGTTGCCCAGGGTGCACCACGTGGAGGTAAGGTGTGAGTGTACGTTGCCCAGGGTGCACCACGGACTCTTTTGCCGTGTATACGTTGCCCAGGGTGCACCAGTTTAGACTTTTTTGTCGCATGAGTATACGTTGCCCAGGGTGTACTCATGGTAGTTTGAAGTCAGAAGTCAACTGCCGGTTAATAGATGGTAGTTTGAAGTGAGAAGTCAACTGCCAGTTAATAGTATGGTAGTTTGAAGTCAGAAGTCAACTGCCGGTTAATAGGGATCTTTTTGCCTTATGAGTATACGTTGCCCAGGGTGCACCACATTTTGCCGTATGAGTATGCGTTGCCCAGGGTGCACCACGTTTGTTTGCCGTATGAGTATACGTTGCCCAGGGTGCACCACGTGGGCAGTTTGAAGTACCAGTCAATAGACTTTTTTCCGCATAAGTATACGTTGCCCAGGGTGCACCACATGGAGGTTGTAAGTACACGTTGCCCAGGGTGCACCACGTGGAGGTAGCCGTATGGAAGTGATAAGTCAACTGCCGGTTAATAGACTTTTTTGCCGTATGAGTGGGTTGCCCAGGGTGCACCGCGTGGAGGTAAGTCTATCGCAACAACTGCCGGTTAATAGACTTTTTTGCCGTATGAGTATACGTTGCCCAGCGGTTTATAGACTTTTTGCCGTATGAGGTCTGTTGCCCAAATATGACATACAGTGGGGTCATGGTAGTTTGAAGTCAGAGGTCAACTGCCGGTTTATAGACTTTTTGCCGTGTTAGGGTTAGATCAACTGCCGGTTTATAGACTTTTTTGCCGTATGCGCATACACAATGACATACAGTGGGGTGATGGTAGTTTGAAGTGAGAAGTTGTGACATATAGTGGGGTGAGGGTAGTTTGAAGTCAGAAGTCCACTGCCGGTTTATAGACTTTTTGCCGTATGAGTATACTTTGTAACATACAGTGGGGTCATGGTAGTTTGAAGTCAGAAGTCAAGGCATACAGTGGGGTCATGGTAGTTTGAAGTCAGTGGTCAACTATACAGTGGGGTGATGGTAGTTTGAAGTGAGAAGTCAACTACCAGTCAATAGACTTTTTTCCGCATAAGTATACGTTGCCCAGGGTGCACCACATGGAGGTTGTAAGTACACGTTGCCCAGGGTGCACCACGTGGAGGTATGCCGTTTGAGTATACGTTGCCCATTGGTTTATAGACTTGTTTGCCGTATGAGTATACGTTGCCCGTCAATGGGGTGATGGTAGTTTGAAGTGAGAAGTCAACTGCCACAATGGGGTCATGGTAGTTTGAAGTTAGAAGTCAACTGCCTTTAATAGACTTTTTTGCCGTATGAGTATACGTTGCCCAGCGGTTTATAGACTTTTTGCCGTATGAGGTCACGTTTCCAAGCCATTTAATAGACTTTTTTGCCGTATGAGTATACATTGCCCAGGGCGTACCACGTGGAGGTAAGTCTATCGCACACCCCACATTGCTATTTCGCACAACGTGGAGGTAAGTCTATCGCACACCCCATTCATTAAATATATCACGGAGGTAAGTCTATCGCACACCCCGTATTTTAGACTTTTTTGTCGCATGAGTATACGTTGCCCAGGGTGTACTCATGGTAGTTTGAAGTCAGAAGTCAACTGCCGGTTAATAGATGGTAGTTTGAAGTGAGAAGTCAACTGCCAGTTAATAGTATGGTAGTTTGAAGTCAGAAGTCAACTGCCGGTTAATAGGGATCTTTTTGCCTTATGAGTATACGTTGCCCAGGGTGCACCACATTTTGCCGTATGAGTATGCGTTGCCCAGGGTGCACCACGTTTTTGCCGTATGAATATACGTTGCCCAGGGTGCACCACGTGATAGACTTACTTGCCGTATGAGTACACGTTGCCCAGGGTGCACCACGTGGTGCCTTATGAGTATACGTTGCCCAGGGTGCACCACGTGGAGCCGTATGAGTAAACGTTGCCCAGGGTGCACCACGTGGAGCCGTATGAGTATACGTTGCCCAGGGTGCACCACGTGCCGTTTGAGTATACGTTGTCCAGGGTGCACCACCTGGAGGTAAGTCTATCGTGAGTATACGTTGCCCAGGGTGCACCACGTGGAGGTGTATGAGTATACATTGCCCAGGGTGCACCACGTGGAGGTAGCCGAATGAGAATACGTTGCCCAGGGTGCACCACGTGGAGGTAAGGTGTAGTATACATTGCCCAGGGTGCGCCACGTGGAGGTAAGACCGTATGATTATACGTTGGCCAGGGTGCACCACGTGGAGGGGTATACGTTGCCCAGGCTGCACCACGTGGAGGTAAGTTTATAAGTCTATTGCACACCCCATGATACCTATCATAACGCCTGCCATTTGAAAGTACGTTGTCCAGGGTGCACCACGTGGAGGTAAGTCTATCGTATTCTTAAGAATAATTGTTTAGAAAACCAGCAAGGGTTGAAAGTTGCCCAGGGTGCACCACGTGGAGGTAAGTCTATCGCACGCTGTCCAGGGTGCACCACGTGGAGGTAAGTCTATCGCACACACCCCTCCGCTTCCAAATAAGATGTTGATAGTGAAGGCATATTTCCAGGGTGCACCACGTGGAGGTAAGTCTATCGCACACCCACTTGGCTCTCCCCTCAAATTTCAACCCTACACGGATGGGCTCGAAGTGGACATTGCTTATGGCATAATGCGATGCTGCATTTAACCTTAAGTGAGTCCCTCTTGACTGGGGCAGTTCAATGCTGGGGCTCAAGAATTGGTACCTTGTTGAGATCAGTCTTAATTAATGCAAATAGCACTGATGTATTATGAATGTCTACAAATTGCATTGAATTTTTACATTATCTACACCTCTCTCTTATATTGCTGCGTAACTGCCTTGCTGAAATGTCTTCTCTTTCCTTGAGGAATTTTGTGCAGTAGTGATATTCTGTTATATATGATTATTTGCTCCATGTTTAATAAAATTTTTAGGGATTTTAACTTGAAATATCCAAACAACTAGAAATAGAAAGAAGCGAAAGTGTACACTGTGTAGGAATAGTAGTAGTGAAATTTGAGAAATAAGGGCTCTATTTCATCGAAGCTTCTGGGTTATCGGGTCGGGTGCTTTTCAATCAAAAATTTGATCAAGTCTGTCTTTAACAAATCTTGTAGTTTTTGTTTATATACATGTTATGCGAGACAAATTTTTACCTAAACTCACAGCTGTTTTGCGTATATTTGATCTTTATTAAACTGTATTTTCAGGGCTATTCCTCTCCTCTCCACTCCACTCCACTCCACTCCCCTCCCCTCCTCTCCCCTCCCCTCCTCTCCCCTCCTATCAACTCCTCGCCCCATACCTCACACCCTCACATCCGACCTCTCTCCCTCCTTGCACCTACCTCACGCAGAGATTGCGGTGGGTTTGCAATGGAGAAGATGGCGTTGGCGAGTTTCATTTCTCGGGTAGCGAGGAGTCTGGAAGAGGGTGGAAGATGGTGGAAGAGAGTTCAAGGCGTCTCGAGGGCTTGTATTGTGAGGCGGTAGGTTGAGTAGTAGGTCCTCCTTGGATGTTGTTTAAGTGAGTGCACTGGATGGCATCTTGAACGGCGATGTGTGGAAGGAGGGGTGAATTGGGCAATTTGTGTAGGAAGCAGTGAGTAGGGAGTGTGAAGTGTGGAGTGTGAGCGTGAGCGTGGAGGGATCGAGGGGAGTGAGGCCAGACGAGACGGGTTGGAAGCGGCACGCAGGAGGTGAAAATGTGTGGGGTGTGGACGTGGAACGCGATAGGAGGAGAGTAGGTGAGTGAGAGGGTGGGAAAGAGACCATTCACCCACCAACCCTCACTCCACACCACCTGCGCCTACCGATCCAACCCACTCCAGCTTATTGCCCAACCGCTTCGCGCTCTTCCCCTTGCTCTCCCTCCCATTCCATCACCCCGCACACACTACTCACGGCTCTCTTCAGCGGCTCGCACATCACCACGCACTCTTCTCGCCTCCTCTAATTTCGCGCACATGCTCGTTAACGAACTATTATTTGAATACTTATCTTATTTTCTTTTAAATATAATACTTTATTTTTGTTTTAATTTTATATCAATTTACTCACATGTCTTATTAAATTGTAATTTTTCTATAGTTCTGTTGCTATATATTAAGGAAAGTATTGCGTTATGCTTTTTTTTGTAAATCCGCAAGTAAGAATGAATGCTTTAATATAACTTGCTGAACATTGTTGATGCCTGTTGAGGCAAGATTTGATTCCTCAGGCGTACAAATGTTCTTTTTCAGATACCGGTCTAATTGCGGAAGTAGCTGGTTACGTAAGTCCTTTAACATCAGAAGACATTCTTGTGATCCGCACATTGGGCATTCATCTGCGTTTCCACTGAAGAAATTTCCACATTTTTGGCATACAAGTCTTTCCGGTCCCTCCAATGACCTTTGATTCCAGTTATGGAGGCAAGCTTCGCAGCTACAATGTTAATGATATTGAAACTTAAGACATTTCTGCCTTTCTTCCGTCGATTGCTCGTAGAAATAGGAATGATATTTTATGGAAAGCTGGCTTCCAGCACAAAGAGACTGCATGGCATAAATTATCATAATTCCCTTGTCAGACATTAGAGCAGAAGCTGTGGGGTTGCATGAGTGATTGATAAGAGAGATAGTTGGATAGGTAGAGATGCCCAACTTTTCATATGTTGGCGAAGTTGAAAGCACTTCTTCTGCTATAGTCTCAACATTATGAAAATCGTTGATTCCTGCGGCTTGAAGATGGTGAAGCATACAGGCTGCAATCCAACATGCTGGAATAATGTCAGGTCGATTGACGATCGAGGGCTCGCGGAAGAATGCGTCGGTTTCATTAAACCAAGTTCATTGGGTACCCTCCGAGCTGAATAGAGCAAATCAATTTATTGGGTGTATACCAGGCTAATCAATACGCTTATTCTTTTCGCCTTTACCAGGAAATGATAACTGAGTATATGGCAATACTAGGTGACTCTATT